GAATAATCTGAGCTTAGTCTTATTGTTTCTCCTCTGTATGTGACTTTTTCTCGAGCTGCTCTCAGGATTCTTTGTCTTTGGTTTTAGTGAGTGTGATTATGATATGCTTTGGTGAATTTCTTTTGGGGTCTATTCTATATGGGGTTAGTTGAGCTGCTTGGATGGTCAGCTTTTCATCTTTCATGATATTGGGGAAGTTCTCTGTCAGCAATTCTTCAGTGATCCTCTCTGTGTTTTCTGTTTTCTCCCCGTTCTGGAACTCTGATCACTCGCATATTTTTGCTTTTGATTGTATCTGACGTAATTCTCAAGGTCTCTTCATTTTTCTTCATTCTTTTTTCAGATTTTTCCTCAGAGTTGCATCCAAGTGTTTGTCTTCAGTTCTGCTGATCCTGTCTTCAACCGTCCCACATCTGCTCCTCAGCCCTTGTATGACACTGTCCATTTCTGAAATCTTGTTTTTCTTTTGGATTTCTAATTGTTTTTGTATACTTTCTAGTTTTGAATTTATTTTGGCATTTCTTGCATTATTTTCCTGAATTCTTCCATTTTTTGTCTATATTTTCCATGAATTTGTCTATTTTTCCCTCTTTTCTGCCTGCTTTTTGCTTCAACTCTTGAATAATTCTGAGTATTAGAGATTTGAATTATCTATCAGGTAGTTCTAGTGCCTTTTTTTGTACTGGAAAGTCAACTGGTGTTTTATTTGGGATGCCTACTTGAACCATCCTGTCCTGTCTTTGTAAATGTTTTATTGTTTGCTGTCTTCGGGACATTCAGTAGTTATTTTTCTCATTTATTGATCGTAGATTTGTTTGTTTTGTTCCTTTTTTAAATTTTCCTATGAGCAGGCGGGCTGTGTGTTCTTTGTTGTTTGCTCTTCTGTGGGCAGAATAATTTTCACCCTCTTCTCCAATTGGTAGGGTCAGTCACTCAGATATGGTACAGCAGGTCAGGTCTAGGTGAAAAGGAGTTGCTGGGGTGGGTTGTTTGTAGCACTTACTACAGCCACCATGGCTGGTTGGTCATCAGTGCAGGGCAGGTTCCGTTATGCTTTGCCTGTGCTGCTTGGTGGTGTGATGTTAAGCGCATGGTGCAGGTAGGCAGGATGGAGGGGGGAGATTGTGATTTGTGGAGCTAAGATGGGTATGGGAGAGAGGAGAGAGGAACAGGAGCCAAAAACACAAACAAAAAAGAGTGCTGGGCAGCTTACCATTGGAGTGGAGAAATGAGAGACTGTGAAATGGAGAAAAACAAAAAGGGGAAGAAGAAAAGAATGAATAAATAAAAATTAGAAAGAAAAGAGAACAGCAAAGTTCCCAGGGGTCCCACCAGTGTGGCTTCAAGTTCTGGGGTAGTTGTTCCCAGGTGTTGAAGTACAGCCTGGCTAGGTGTAGAGGTATTCAGTGCCAGGTATCCAGAGGACAGGAAAAGAAAGAAAGTATAGATGAGAAACTGAGTAGTGAAGAAAGACAAAAAGGGAAAAAGAGGAAAAAGAAAACAAAAAAAAGAACAAGAAAACCACCCCCCAAAACAGAAAAAAAACCCACAAAGAAAGAAGTGCGCTCAGGGATCCCCTGCACGTCTGCACAAGCTGAGGGGGTAGGTCCCAAGCCAGGCAGCACTGCCAGGCCAGAACGGGCTCCCAACTCGAGAAACGGAAAAGGAAACGAACAACTGAAAACAAAAGCTCTGGGATCCCACCAGCGTGGCACCAGGGACCGGGAAGCAGTTCCACACTCGAACGGAGCGCCACAGTCCGTCAGAAAGAAGCAAAGATGGCGCATGGAGCCAGGTATGTGAGCAAAAGGAGGGGGAGGTGGTGAGAGGTAAGGAAGAAATCAAAAGAAGTGGAAAAAAGCAACACCAGCAGCCAAAAAATGGCACTTAGGGAGTTGGCCAGTGTGGTGGTGTGGAATCCAAGCAGCAGATGCTTCCCAGCCAAGAGACTGTGGCCGCGGGAAGTAGAGGAGGCTGAGTGGGGGTGAAGGGTGTGGGGTGGGAAAGCGTATATCACTAGTTACCGGTTGCGCTGTCTCCTGCTGAAAGCTCCATGAAGCTCTGTCTCATAGCCCCTATTTGCCGGTCTTTGATAGGAGTTCAAGATGGTGGATCTATGCTGCATTACCTGATCAGGGACCTCTCCATGTATGTCTCCTCGCTCTCTGTTCTCTGTCAGTTTCTCATTCCATTTGGTGCTTGGCTGAGTTCTTTATCTCTTCATTTGATGTTTAGGATTTCGGGATTGCTGTTTTCTCTGGCTTGGTTTTTCGGATCTTTACTGTGGAGGGATAGCATGGTACTTCTGCCTAGAGTGCCATGTTGCCAGAAGTCCCACCCGTCTCTTCTTGATGTAGTTTTCTTTTTTCAACTGGAGGCCTTTTGATATGAATTGTTCTTAGGTGCCATCAAGTTGGTTCCGACTTGTAGCGACCCTATGTACAAGAGAATGAAACACTGCCCAACTGTGCGCTATCCTCACCATCGTTGTTATGCTTGAGGCTGTTGCAGCTACTGTGTCAATCCATCTCATTGAGGGTCTTCCTCTTTTTTGTTGATCCTCTAGTTTACAAAGCATATATTCTCCAGGGGTTGGCCCCTCCTAATAAGATGTCCAAAGTATGTGAGACAAAGTCTCGCTATCCTTGCTTTTAAGAAGCATTCTGGTTGTACTTCTTCCAAGACAGATTTGTTCATTCTTTTGGTAGTCTATGTTATATTCAATATTCTTCACCACCACCATAATTCAAACGCATCAATTCTTCTTTGGTCTTCTTTATGCAGTGTTTAGCTTTCATATGTATATAAAATGATTGAAAGCACCATGGCTTGTGTCAGGTGCACGTTATTCTTTAAGATGACATTTTTGCTTTTTAACACTTTAAACAGGTTTTTTTGCAGCAGATTTGCCCAATGCAATGAGTCAATTGGTTTATTGACTGCTGCTTCCATGGTTGATTGTGGATTCAAGGAAAATGAAATCCTTGACAATCTCAATCTTTATCATGATGTTGTTTATTGGTCCAGTTGTGAGGATTTTTGCTTTCTTCATATTGAGGTGTAATTCATACTGAAGGGGTGTGGTCTTTGATCTTCATCAGTGTTTCAAGTCCTCTTCACTTCCAGTAAGCAAGGTTGTGTCATCTGCATATCTCAGGTTGTTAATGAGTCTTCAATCCTGATGCCCTGTTCTTTTTCCTCAGATTATTTGCTCAGCATACAGATTTCATTAAGTATGATGAAAGGATGCAACCCTGACGCACACCTTTTCTGACTTTAAACCACACGGTATCCCCTTGTTCTAATAACTGCCTCTTGATGTATGTACAGGTTCCTTATAAGCTCAATTAAGTGTTCTGGAATTCCCATTCTTTGCAGTGTTACCGTTAATTTGTTATGATCTGTGACAGATGCGTGTGGCTGATATGAATGATAGTATTAAATTCCCAGTTAATCCAAAATTTCTGCCATATCTGAGTCTGCTTCTGATGCTTACTTTGTTTATTCAGTCAATGGGAAAAGCTGCCAGTCTCTCAAGTCTCTCCCAGTTATGAATAGGTTACCTTCCTTTCACTGTGTGCTTCGTGTTTTATTGTGTGTTCCAGTGGGTCTTATGGAAGGAGTGCATTGAATTTTTTCCACAAAGAAATGATTATCTGAATATGGAAATATGTCATTCATAGGGGATTTTTTTTTCCTTCTGCTATGTTTTCTGCTTGTTTTGAACCATAAATATAGAGAAGAATACGACTGTATAGGTCATAGACTACAGAGAGATAAGTTTAGTGTGTTAGAAATATTGTTAAATCTATGATAGGTAAATGTAGTCAGCAAAAGGACAATGCTGATGGCCAATGTCTAGAATAGAACATAGAACTCTTTTGGACCTCTATAAATTTTCAGTTCCTCAGGACTGTCAGTCTCACCCATCTTTCTGCACACATTGGGGAAAATGGTACCTTGCTGATCCAGAGTATGTGTGATGTTTTAGGACTTGGTGGTCTTTGAGGATGTGGCTGTAGAATTTACCCAGGAAGAATGGGCTTTACTGGATTTTTCTCAGAGAAAACTCTACACAGATGTAATGATGGATACCTTGAGGAACCTGGACTCAGGTAAGGATGACTTCCTTTTTCTTATTTACTTATTTAGTGAATAAATATATAGTACTTTATTGACCTTCTAGGATTTGGGTTGAGAAATTGGAATACATTGATAAACATGTGAAAGGTTTTCACTGCCCTCATGGTGCTTAGGCTCTAGTAGCTTCCCCATGAAAGTAAAATTCTATGAATTAAATTGACTGTCTTGTTGTTAAAAGCATTGAGGCTCTTTAATTGTGAGCATTGGCTTCACGGGTCACTTTGTAGCAGAGATTTGTGGTTTGGGACCTTGTTATCATTTATTACAAATTTGATGTGATTATTTTACTAAAAATAAACTTTACATCTGTCTATAGAGATCTTGGAGAACAAAGTATTGGTTCAGCATCAGGGAAATGTGCTTGTCTATCTTCCCTCATGATCTGTCTTTTCCCTTGAGCATCAGGTCAACCACACTAATTTTTCTCCCTGAGAAGCAAGGGAAACATCTTAGGAGAGTGGAGATAGGACTTAACAGAACTGTAGTGTCAGGGAGCACCACGATGGCAAGAATCCTTTGAAGGACCAGTCCTGTTGGGATGGAATTACATTTAAATAAATCAATTGGAAATAATCTCTTTTGCTTTGAAGAGGTGAAACTTACACATGTACCTGAGCTGACTTTTTTGTTTTCATGAATATTTTCATGCCTTCTTTATTTTTGGGAAAAGACCTCCCCCATTTTCTCTTTTAATATTACATTTATGCCCACACATTGTTTGCAATACCTTATTTTGCTTTCGTGATTACACTCTACTTGTGTCATTGTCACTCTCAGTTATGCAATTTTTTCATAGTAAATTACTTACCCTTTTGACCATTGCCATTGCCAAAGTCCTTTTGACAAGTTATCGAGAGGGACTAGTCCTTGGAGAAGGACATCATCCTTGGTAAAGATCCTCAAGCAGATGGATTGACATAGTGGCTGCAACAATGGTCTGAAGCCTAACAATGATTATGAGGATGTCACAGGACTGGACAGTGTTTCGTTCTGTTGTGCATAGGGTTGCTACGAGTCTGAATCGACTCGACGGCACCTAACAACACAACACGTCCTACAGTTGCCACATATCTTGAAGTCAATCTTTCTTCACACATGCTTTTTTCCTTATAAAATTTCCTTACTGATTTGTTTCATCTTGTGAAACTCCATTTAAAATTGTTTCAGTTTTTCTACAGGATACTAATGGACAAATACTGCCTATAAAGTGTGACTCCTGCTCTTCAATGTTAGGAGAAATCTGTGAATTCCATGGCATTGAACGTCAACACAACCACCAAAGGAAGCACATGAGGTATTAGTCACATGACAGTGAACAGTGTGCCTCAGGAGAGTCTTAGGGTGTCATGACGTTTGTGTGTGTATAAAAGTAGCTCTAAAATAGTGTGTTCACATAATTTTCATAAAGCAGTATTTCCATAAATGTGAATCAGATATTGAGTATGTGAAACATAGTTCACTTATAACTAATTATGAGAAAGTTCCATAATTTAGAAACACTGTGACTGCAATGGTAGTACCCTCTGTGAGATGATTCAATCTATGTATGCAACACGAGACAATTTAGGGCAGAAAACACACATTCAGTGTGCATGGTAATTGTGAAATGGTAACAACTTTAATTCTAACAACATGCTTCCTGTTTTTAACAGAAAATATTCAGTAGAGAGCATCTGTGAGAGTAAGAATGGTGAAGAAGGTAATCGCTGTAGAAAAACTTTCAGCTGGATTAGCAATCTTACTAGGCTCAAAAGAACTGCTGGAGTAAATCCTTTTCAGCGTCTTGAGTGTGGAAAAGCCTTTATGGATCATTCATCATTTAAGAGTCACATCACATCTCTCACTGGAAACAAAGTTTATCGTTATAAGGAATGTGGAGAAGACTGCACTTGTCCTTCTTACCAAAAACCTCGTGTGAGAGAGAAACTTTGTAAGGATTATGGGAAACCTTGTAGTTGTTCCTTATCCCTCACTAAACACATAACTCACAGTGGAGAGAGGCCTTATGGATGTAAGGAGTGTGGGAAAGCCTTTAATCATCTCTCACATCTCACCAGACATATAAGAACTCACAGTGAAGAGAGGCCTTATGAATGTAAGTTATGTGGGAAAGGCTTTCGTTGTTCCCCATCTCTCAATGTACATATAAAATCTCACAGTAGAGAGAGGCCTTATGAATGTAAGGAGTGTGGGAAAGCCTTTAATTATCTCTCACATCTCACCAGACATATAAGCACTCACAGTGAAGAGAGACCTTATGAATGTAAGTTATGTGGGAAAGCCTTTCGTTGTTCCTCGTCTCTTAATGTACATATAAAATCTCACACTGGAGAGAGGCCTTATAAATGTAAGGAGTGTGGGAAAGCCTTTAATTATCTCTCAAATCTCACCAGACATATAGGAACTCACAGTGGAGAGAGGCCTTATGAATGTAAGGAATGTGGGAAAGGCTTTCGTTGTTCCTCATCTCTCAATGCACATCTAAAATCTCACAGTGGAGAGAGGCCTTATGAATGTAAGGAATGTGGGAAAGCTTTTTGTCGGCCCTCAGACCTCACTAGACATTTAAGAACTCACAGTGGAGAGAAGCCTTATGAATGTAAGGAATGTGGGAAAGCTTTTTCTTTTTCCTCAGCTCTTACTGTACATATAAGATCTCACAGTGGAGAGAGGCCTTATGAATGTAAGGAATGTGGGAAGGCCTTTAGTCGGTCCTCAGACCTCACTGCCCATATAATAACACACAGTGAAGAAAGGCCTTATGAATGTAAAGAATGTAGAAAAGCCTTTAAGCAATTTGGACAACTCACTAGACATGTAAAAGTTCACAGTGGAGAGAAGCCTTATGAATGTAAGGAATGTGGGAAAGCCTTTAGTGACTTTTCACAACTCACTAGACATGTAACAGTTCACAGTGGAGAGAAGCCATATGAATGTAAAGAATGTTGGAAAGCCTTTAGTCGGTCTTCGTACCTCAGTGCCCATGTAATTACACACAGTGAAGAGAGGCCTTATGAATGTAAAGAATGTGGGAAAGCCTTTAAGCAGTTTTCACAACTCACTAGACATGGAAGAATTCACAGTGGAGAGAAGCCTTATGAATGTAAGGAATGTGGGAAGGCCTTTTGTCAGTTTTCACAACTCACTGGACATATAACAGTTCACAGTGGAGAGAGGCCTTATAAATGTAAGGAGTGTGGAAAATCATTTAGTCGATATTCATACCTCACTGCTCATATAAGAGTTCACAGTGGATACAAGCCTTATAAATGTAAAGAATGTGGGAAAGCCTTTAATCATTCCTCACACCTCACTATCCATATGAGATCACACAGTGGAGAGAGGCCTTATAAATGTAAGGAGTGTGGGAAAGCCTTTTTTAGGTTCTCACACCTCATTGAGCATGTAAGAACTCACAGTGGAGACAAGCCTTATAAATGTAAGGGATGTGAGAAAGCCTTTACTTCTTCCTCGTCCTTTCGTAAACATGTTAGAGCTTACCATGGACGTAGGCCTTCTGATAGTAAGGAATGTGGGAAAGCCTTTAGTTCTCACACCTCACTGATCATATAAGATCTTAGTGGAGAGAACTTGTGGTGCACTGAATTGCTATCATATGGCCATTTTAGCTATGGTCTTGTAACTCACAAAAAAAGGGTGGGAGTTTGCATATTTACCAGTGAAAGGACATTTAAGTTTTTTCATGTTTTTATGAATAAAACAGCTGTAAAACTTTCAAGCGTGGGTTTTTTTGTTGTGTTTGTGTGTGTGTGAACATAAGATTTCATTTTTGTTGGATATGTCCTTACAAGTGGGATTCTTGTGGCATATGGTAGGTTTATGTCTACCTTTATTAGAAACTACTCATCTTTTCCCTGCGTTCTTTTTCTTCTGCAAATAAGATGAATATAACCCTTATAGATGGTCAGTTTTGCCATTCCACTAGGTTTAAAAAATAGCCAATTTCATAGATGGGTAGAGGGACCTCACTACCATCGAGGAGACAGGTCAGGAGAGGTGTGGAGAGCATCCTCTGGACCTGGGGTCTCTGCCCTGAGAACCTCCTAGACCCAGGAGACAGAGCTTATTGTAGGAGGAGTGTTGTGAGATGGCGCAAAGCAGCAGCGGCAGAACCAGGAGGCCAGCTCAAGAGCGCGCAGTTGGCTTCCTGGCCCATGGAGTTATCCACAGTGGGCTTGCTGACTCAGAGCTGTGGGCCTTTGGGCAGGATGCTTTGTGGCGAAGTGGGGTGCCTCCAGGTCCTTGTTGGCAGAGCTAGTCTTGCTGTCTCATGTCTCAAGAGGGCTGAGTGCTTTCGGTCAGGAGGCTTCTTGGTGGAGTGGGGTTCCTCTGGGTATTGATCAGAGTAGCTAAAGAGCTGTAACAGTTGCCCAAGCTTTGGTGGGTGAGGCCCAACCTGAGTAGGGCCCAGCAGCAGCAAAGTCCTGACCAGGGCCCAGTGGCAGAGGCCAAGAAGAAACTATCCTGACCAAAGAACTGTATCCTGAGGTGTTCTGTTACTTCCATGTTGATCCTGACCCTGAATTGCAACTACTACTTCCCTAATAAATTCCATCAATCATGAGTATCGTCTGTGAGTTCTGTGTGGTCACTGCAATGAATTATCGAGCCCACCAGAGAAGTAGTGCTGTGGGTGGGATGGCTGGTGTCAGAATTGGGAGGTTGGAGATATGGTTGACCTCCACCTTATAGGAATTAGCTTTGGACTGATGATGATGGTGATTCTTTCTCCTCCCCCTGAAGTTAGAAGATAACTTCTAATGCCACGCCATTTTTACAGAAGCCTTATGCATGTTAAGGAATGTGAGAAAGCCTTTAGTTTGTCCTCATCCCTTACTAACCATTAGAGTTCACAGTGTAGAGATTCCTTATAAGGAATGTCAGCCTTAGTCCTTATACCTTACTAACCATAGACCACAGTGGAGACAGGCCTTATATATGTAAGGAATGAAGGAAAGTCTTCAGTTCTCTCTCAGCGTAGAGATGCCTTATGAGTATAAGGGAAGTCCGGAAGCCTTAGTCCTCATACTTCACTAACCAAAGAAGACTTGACAATGGAAAGAGGCCTTATGTATGTAAGCAATGAGGGAAGTATTCAGGTCTCAGCCATTTGAAGTCATGTGAGAAGGTAAACTAGAAAGAAAATACATGTAAGTAATATTGGAAGGCTTCTGGTAATGCCCCATCTTTTAAAAAAAACCTGAAAGAAAACACCTGGGAGAGAAACCATAGTAGTGTAAGGAATGTGATATGGGAAAGTTTGCTTCTCCCCACTGTACTTTCCAAGATGTGAAGTTTCATGCATATGGGAAAGCCTTCACTACCTCTGTTAAATATGTGAGACCTCATACATCTGAAAAATCATGTATACATAAAGAACATAGAAACATCTTGGAATTCTTAGAAAATATGTGAAATATCACACTGTGGATTTATCCTATGAATGTAAAATATGAGGGACTCCTTCAGTGTCCCTTCTCACTTAGGACCCCTATGAGACCTCACATTCAGAGAGACTGCACATGCTAAGTCTGTGACTATAAGCCAACTTACCTTTCAGTTGTAGACTTTGGATGAATATCAAAATGTTATTTTGGTTCTTTTATATAGATTATATTTATTACACATTTGTATCTTGAAGTGTATTTTCTTTTTATCAACTATATTTTTGAAAGTTTTATACAGTTTTAGATAATGCAATTTGCTCATACAAAATTTGATTTTAACAGGAAATTATAAGGAAAAGTAAAAAATCATTATCCCACCACTCTTGTTTTGGCTATTATTAACCTTTGTATTGGAAAGGTTTTTTTTTTTTTTTTAACTAAATCCCAATTGTATGTATAGTGCTGTACTGAACATTTTTTTCCATTGCTTCTGTCATTTACCCTCCACAACTATTAGGATCCTTGGTTTACTGATGAAGACACTGCACACCATCTCACAAAAATGCACCATGCAAGTGGTGCTGTGGAAGTAGGGCTCACCTGGAAGGAACGTTCCTCTTGGGAGTTTCATATGGACCCACAATGTGACCTAGCAGCAATGAAACTTCTGTCCAGCACAGGCCCAGAAGCTATATTTTGAGAACGTCCTGCTTTTGGTAATTTTGTGGCTCCTAGAGGGTGTACCAGTCTAGAAGCTGAGGGTCCAGTGGGCTGGACTGGCGACTGCTGCTTCACCTGGGGTGTATGCCTGCTGTGGGGCCTGGTGATTTATTCAGAGCCACTGCCTTTTGCTGAACTGGGAGCTTCTATGGTGCCTCATGTAAGAGGCCTGAGAAATGATGGTCCTAGGTAACAGATGCATTCATATTAGGCCTCCGATTGGTCCAGCAATTCCCCTTACGGAATCATCCTATGAAAATCACTGGGAACCATAATGGTGTCCATTGATCCTGGCCATTGCCTTTGAGTCGATTCTGACTCATAGAGACCCTATAGGAGAGGGTAGAACTCCCCATAGCGTTTCCAAGGCTGTAAATCTTTATGGAAGAAGACTGCCCCATCTGTCTCCCATGGAGTGGCTGGTGGGTTTGTACTGCTGACCTTTTGGTTAGCAGCCGAGTGCTCATCCACTGTGCCACCAGAGCTCCTTCCATTGAGCCTAGTGATAGCGGAAATACTGAAAGTTTGGAAATAGTGTCAATGTACAATAGAGTTCAATAAATGCCTGGCTGCATGTCACAGTATTATACTGTCAGTAAATTAAGTTTTTGAGAATAAGTTTACCCACAGTAGGAGAGGCAGTCATAGCTTACTCTTGTTTGAAAGGCAGGGTATAAAATAGTGTATACGTGATGATGGCAGTTTTATAAAACACATGTGCAAACCAGCCTGTAGAGAAGCCTAGAACATGAACATGGATTCTCTCACAAAGGCGAGATGATTTCTGAAGTTACTTCCCTTCTCCCTAATTTGCAGTTTTTCTTCAATGTTCAATCTTTGTGTGTGTATATATATATAGGAAAATAGTAATTCACTTTTACAATGTACCACAGTACGAGTTATGACAATGAAGTCATATAACCTGTACCACAATGACTGTACAGAAGAGTTCTCTTCCCTCTAAAAACATTCCTTTTCAGTCAAACCTTCCCCTCATCCCGAATCCCTGGCTACTGTCCCTGTACAAGTCATTCACTATGTAGCTTCTAGATTCTAGCTCCTGTTATTTAGTGTAATGAATTTGAGATTCCTTTCAGTTAAATGTATCGAGTGTGTTTTTTATTTCTTTATAGTACTCCAGTGTAGACACATATGTCAGTTTGTGTATTCACCAGTGGAAGGACATTTGAGGGTTTCTTACTTATTTTTATGAATAAAACAGCTATAAAACTTTCAAGCATAGGTTTGTGTGTGTGTGGACAAAAGTTTTCATTTTTTCTTGTGTATGTCGTTATGAGTGGGATTGTTATGTCATATGGTAGGTTTATATATACCTTTATTAGAAACTGCTAATCTTTTTTCCCCACCTGCCCCCTTTTTAATAACATTTTACTTTGGTGAAAATGTACAGAGCAAAACATACTCCCATTCAACAAATTCTGAAGTATAGTTCAGGGCCCCACGTATCAGATTTTCGTACTGTGGGGGCTTGCCTGCTGCTATGATGCTGGAAGCTATGCCACCAGTATTCAGATACCAGCAGGGTCACCCATGGCAGACGGGTTTGAGCTGAGCTTCCAGACTAAGACAGACTAGGAAGGACCTGGCGGTCTACTTCTGAAAACAATTAGCCAGTGGAAACCTTATGATTAACAGTGAAACATTGATATAGTGCCAGAAGATGAGCCCCCCAGGTTGGAAGTCACCAAAATACAACTGGGGAAGAGCTGCCTCTTCAAAGTACAGTTGACCTTAATGATGTGAAGTCAAGCTTTTAGTACCTTCATTTACTGATGTGGCATGACTCAAAAGAAGAAACAGCTGCAAACATCCATTAATAATTGGAACATGGAATGTAGGAAGTACGACTCTAAGAAAATTAGAAATAGTCCAAAATGAAATGGAACATGTAAACGTCGATATTCTAGACATTAGTGAGCTGAAATGGACTGGAGTTGGCCATTTTGAATCGGACAATCCAATGGTCTATTATGCTGGGAATAACAACTTGAAGAGGAATGCTGTATTCATCGTCAAAAAAGAACATTTCAATATCTATCTAAAAGTATGACACTATCAGTGATAGGATAATATGCATATGCCAGTGTCTTAGGCTGTATTCTCTAGAGAAGCAAAACTAGTAAATTGTATAAATATATATAGAGAGAGAGACTTAAACAGCTCACACTATTGTAGAGGCTGGAACTTCCCAAGTCTGTGGACTAGGATAGAGGCTTCTCCTGATTCACGTAGCCACAGGGGCTGGTGAACCCAAGATCGGCAGGTTGGAAAGCAGGACTCCACTCACAGGCTGTGAAGATAATGAATCCTAGAAGCAGCAGATAAGCTGGTAGCTCAAGTCCCAAGAACCAGAGGTCAGATTAACAGGAGGCAGCCACTGGATCCAGAGCGAGCAAAAAGCCAGAACTTCTGCTTATATTCAGATGCAAGCCACACCTCCAAGGAAACTCCCTTTCAACTGATAGGCTACTCACAGCATATTCAATCATGGGAGTGATCACATATAAACACTCAGAATCATGGCCCAGCTGAGTTGACACACAATTTTAACCATCACAGTCCACCGCTAGTCAACTTGGCACATGTTCACATCTCCTTAAACCATACACAATCTCTGAATAAAGACAATTATAAAGTCATACTTTCGCCTAACATGGTACAACACATGTACAATTGAAAACACACTAGCTCTGTTTACAGCTTATGTTTTATAAGTGAAGGAAACAAAAATATTTGATGCACCCATACAAAGAAGAAATATAACAATTACAGCCCTGGTTTCTGCAACTGGTCATGTGGCCAAAACTGGTTTTTGGAATTACTTTCTTTCACTACCCATTCCACAATCCCTTTGCCCTCAGCAGACACCTCAGCTGGTCGTGGTTCTTTGCCTGGTGGGGTGACCCCAACCTTCATTCCT